TCCTCCCTCTCTCTCCATCTCTCATCTCCATGGGTGAGGAAACCCTTATAACCTTATGGGGTTTATGATACCTTCCTTCCCCAAGCCTCAGATATAAAGCCTGAGGTTCCCCCTTAATGGAAAGGCTCCTGGGAGGTGGACTGCATTTCCTGGGCAATACTGGTGACTGTATTCCCTGCGAATTCCCTGGGACCTGGAGCATCCATGGTGGTGACATGAGATATCATTTGCTCCTATCCAGAATCCACAGGGAGATGCTGATGGTAACTCTGGGCACTCTCTGTCTTCAGTTTGTCCAGGCACATTGAAAGAACTCTTACCCATCTGGAGAGGGAGGGAAAAAGCACTGATGGGGTGTAGATAGGTCACCCAAGGACTCCAGCAGCATCCTTTCCAAAGAACACACCTGTTTTCTGCACTCTATAACTAGACCCACACATAGGAAGACCTTCCTGCCAGCTCTCTCACCTTTGTCCCTCTGCCATCGCCTTTTCAAACTTCTGGATAGTTTGCTTGTCAATGTCCCCACACATGAAGATGAGTTGTCCAGTGGTGGTGGGCTTGCCAGTAAGGACAATATTGATGTGGTCTTCTCTTTACCCATGGCAGTGGGTTTACCAGAGTAACTGCTGATCTAGACAGCCAGGTGGTGAGACTGAACCATCCAGGCCTGTCTTCTTCCTGTTCCCTCCACGCTGCTCCTGCATGGCACCCCTCCACTTCAGTGCCTAGCCCAGAGTCATAGTAGGTTAAGCTGAAAATGTAAACCTGACCTGCCCAGGCTCACTCCTCCTAGACTAACTCCTTGGCCACCTCAGGTACCTCCGAATAGTCCTAGCCCAGACCTTTCACCTGTGTGGGCCACTCCCAGAACACATGGGCTTAGTTAGCCCCAGTTCATCCAACCCTCCCCCACCTCCAACACATTTCTGATGCGAGAGATCCTGACCTCTATTGTCTGCTTCTTGTCCTTTGTAAGTGCTCACCTATAACGAAAAGGTAAGCCTGATCCAGAGGTCAGCAAGAGCAGCAGCAGCTGTGGAGAGAGGGAGCTTCTTGCCTCCTGCTTTTGGGAGCCCAGCACTCCCTGCAATGGCCCACTTCTGATTCTCATCAAATGTGAAACCAGAGCCTGATGGTGTTGGGAAAGCCACTCTTTACCCTAGTCCCAGTTTCAGAGACTTCTCAATGACTGGTTGGGTGGCTGAATAAAGAGAGGGTGAATGAGGTTCACTGTGCTTTCACTGACTGGGTGAGTGACTGAATAAGGGGAGGGTGGGTGAGGCTCTTTGTGCTTTTGCTGGCCATGTGGAGTGGGAGAAGGGAAAAACCTGAAAATAAGAAAAAATGGAAATAAATAAATAAATGAAGATACAGAACAAATGCTGCGCTTGGCCAGGCTCTGTGGAGATGCAGATGCAGATTTCAGGCCCTCAAGACAGAGGTGCAGAATGGTTGCAGCTCTCCATCCATTTATTCAACATTTATGGAGCAGGGCAGTGTTTCACATTGTGCAGGAGGCTGAGGATCCAACATTAGGAACCGGTCATGGCCTCTCTTCTGAAAAGCTCTCAGGCTATTATCCTTGCGGGGGGAGGGGTGGCGTTTTACTCTATTCACTAGGTGTGGGAGGCTGAGAGGCAACCGAGACAGGGAGCCCCTTGGGAAGCCACATGGAGCTTGAGCCAGGCAGAGTGTCAAGCACATTGAACATACTTGGAAAGGGGGATCAGAAGAGAGAGAGGGGAGGCCACAGGTGCTCACGAGAGCACACTGCCATTAGGATGGGGTACAAGCCTTTGCCAAGGTCTTCTCCCTCCTCCCACAGTCAGGATTAGTTACTTTCCACTCTGGGTCTGAAATTCTCCAGTTTTGCCATGAGATAATACAGTAGTCTTCCCCTTGCTGAGGTTTTGCTTTCTCTGATTTCAGTTACCTGTGGTACAGTACAATAGTGTATTTTGAGACAGGAATCAAGAGAGAGGAGAGAGGAAAGTGGAGAGAGGAGAGAGAAGAAGGAAAGAAGAGAGAGGGGAGAGAGACCATATTTATATAACTTTTATTTTTTCATTTTTAATTTTATTATTATTATTATTTTTAGAAACAGGGTCTTGATTTGTCACCCAGGCTGTAGTGCAGTGGCACAATCATAGTTCACTATAGCTTCAAATGACTGGGAGGAAGCAATTTTCCAACTTGGCCTCCAAAGCGCAGGGAATACAGGCTTGAGTCACTGTTTCCAGCTGTTATTTACTTAACTCTTATTATAGTACATTGTTAAAAATCAATCTCTTGCTGTTATTAATATTACTGTGTCTAGTTTATGTACTTTAACACAGTAACATAGTATAGGAAAACATAGTATGTACAGTGTCCTCAGTTTGGTAACTATATTGTCTGAGGTTTCTGGCACCCACTGGGGTCTTTGCAAGTATCCTCTGCAGGTAAGGGGCGATTACTGGAATAGCACTATAGTTTCAGCCTCTTTGAAACAGCACAAAGGCAAATTATAGCATCTAAGACAATGTCACTTTGTAGTCAGACAGATCTAGGCCTAAATCCCGCTTTCTCTACTTACTAGCTGGGTGAACTTGACATCTCTGAGCTGTTTCTTCTGCAAAATGGGAATAAAACTAACCTGCTTAGCATAAGGACTAATGAGACCATGCACAGTGCCTGGCACATGGAAATGATCAGTAACTGGTTTCTGCTCTTGCAGACAGGACTATCTCCCGTCTTACATTGCTGAGCTCCACTTACTAGGAGATAAAGTGCTCACACATAGACAGAATGATTTACCCTAGGTCACAGAATGAATTAATGAATAAATAGTAAGATATTGCTCAATCTATAGGTTTCCAGTCTTCTGTGTCAGACTGTCTCATTAAGAATTATTATTGCTTTCTTCCCCACCGTAGCCAGGGTAGGGCTGGTCACGCCGCCGATGCGTGGATGGCAGCCTCGCAGCGCCAGACCCGCACTTAACTCGCCCCTGCCTCCCGAGCCTGCGCGATGTGCCGCCCCGGGTGACAGGCGGCGGGGCGCTGCCCGGGACTCGGGCGGCCATGCTCCCCCGCAGCACGTAGTGAGAGCCTCGCCGCCCAGGAGCAACCTCATGTGACGGCACAGCCAACAAGATGAACGGTGCTTTGGATCACTCAGACCAGCCAGACCCAGATGTCATTAAGATGTTCATCGGACAGATCCCTCAGTCGTGGTCGGAAAAGGGGCTGAAAGAATTTTTCGAGCCTTACGGAGCCAACTACTAGATCAACGTACTCCGGGACTGGAGTCAGAACCCTCCCCAGAGTATAAAGGTTGTTGTTTCATAACATTTTATACAAGAAAAGCTGCACTTGAGACCCAGAATGCACTGCACAATATTAAAACTTTACCTGGGATGCATCATCCCATTCAGATGGAACCTGCAGATAGTGAAAAGTCCAACGCTGTGGAAGACAGGAAACTGTACATAGGAATGGTCTCGAAGTGTAATGGGAATGGTATCAGGGAGATGTTTTCTCCATTTGGTCAGATCGAGGAATGCCGCATTCTCCGGGAATCCAACGGGCTGAGTCGAGGCTGTGTGTTTGTCACATTTTCTACAAGGGCAATGGCACAGAATGCAATCAAAGCCATGCATCAGTCTCAGATCATGGAGGGTTGCTCTTCACCTATCGTGGTGAAGTTCGCGGACGCTCAGAAGGACAAAGAGCAAAGGCGCCTGCCCCAGCAGCTGGCCCAGCAGATGCAGCAGCTCAACAGCCACTTGGGGAAACCTGACCGGGCTGGGCGGGCTGACTCCGCAGTACCTGGTGCTCCTGCAGAAAGCCACCTCCAGCAAACAACCTTTGGTGCATTCAGTGGCATTCAGCAGATGGCGGGCATGAAAGCTTTACAACTCCGGAACCTGGCGACATTGGCTGCTGCTGCCACCGTGGCCCAGACCTCAGCCACCAGTGCCAGTGCAAACCCCCTCTCTACCACGAGCAGTGCCCTGGGAGCCCTCATGAGTCCCGTGACTGCTTCAACTCCCAACTCCACTGCTGGTGCAGCCATGAACTCCCTGACCTCTCTTGGGACCCTGCAAGGACTAGCTGGAGCCACAGTTGGACTGAATAATATTAATGCACTAGCAGGTATGGCGGCTCTGAACGGAGGACTTGGCACCACAGGCTTGACAAATGGCATGGCTGGCACCATGGATGCCCTCACCCAGCCCTACTCAGGAATTCAGCAGTACGCAGCCGCTGTGCTGCCCACCCTGTACAACCAGAGCCTGTTGCAGCAGTAGAGCACTGCGGGCAGCCAGAAGAAAGGTCCAGAGGGGGCAAACCTCCTTATTTACCACCTTCCACAGGAGTTTGGAGACCAGGACATTCTGCAGATGTTCATGCCTTTTGGAAATGTAATCTCTGCTAAAGTCTTCAATGACAAACAGACCAATCTGAGCAAGTGCTTTGGTTTCATTAGCTACGACAATCCAGTCTCTGCACAAGCTGCTATCCAAGCTATGAATGACTTTCAGATCGGCATGAAATACTTGAAGGTGCAGCTGAAGTGCTCCAAAAATGACAGTAAACCTTACTGATCCTAACCCCATAGGCTCCCTGCTCTCATTTTAGCTTTCTTGGGGTAAGTCCCACGAGCCAGCCTGTCTCTACAGGGAAGGCAAGGAGGACCACATTGCCAACTTTACCAAGAGAGACAGTTATTTTTACAATAAGGCTCATCTCCTCACCCTTCCCCTTACCCAGTTTGCCATAATTAAACTCGGGCCACCTTGTTAAAAAAAAAAAGAATTATTATTATATGTTCCATTTGAGCCATACACATAGTATCTCTGTGGTCTTGACTGACTCAGAGCTGGAGGAATAATCAGTTAGAGGTTTTGACATTGAAGTAAGCTGAAGGGTAAGTGCTCCTGATAGAATGACTTTCTTGTCTAGTGCAATCAGCTGTTGCTAGGAAAACATCCCATAATTTAAAAATTTGAAGGGACTTGCAATCTTTATAATTTATTAGAAATAGTATTTAAGTTCGTAAATGTAAAGTCATAGCATTTCTGGAGTTAAATGGTTAAGAATTATAAATTAATCTATAGTGATTGTAACGTAGGCTTCAGACAGGAAGAAATAAGATCCTTTGAACAACAAGCACAATGCAGTGAGAAATCTCGAGATAAATAAAGTTACATGATCAAGATGTGCTCATGCAACTGCATAATTACAAGGAGAGGTGACACTGGTGAAAAAACAGGCAGGGAGGGGTAATTCCAAAAAGACTAGACAATGTAACCAATATTAGCATAGGAATGAAACACATCTACTCATTAATTTATCTATCTAAATAACTACTAGTCAAGCCCTTTGTGAGTTATAGCAAGCACAGCAGTGTGTTTTTGTCAAGCCATGCAAATTGGTCTAATTTAAATCAAGTGATGGAGTTTCTGGCATTGTAGACATGTCTTCTGTGTCCCTGGTAGATTAAAAACCATTCCATTTTGGAGAAGTTCAGATTTTGAGTGTCTCCAGGGAGGGGTCAGATTGAGGTAAATATGGGAAAAACCTCTTCTCTGTTTCATGTACTAACCAAACTTCTCCTGTCCTGTTTTAGAATATAAATTTTTGGCCAGATAAAGAAGTATTTGACTTAGTTCTTCCTAGTTCTGAGTGTGGGAACGAGCAGGAGAAACTGATGCTTCTGGAGTTGCTGACCTGAATAAGGAGATACTCAATTTGCAGACCTGCAGCAACAGGAAATCAGATCCTAAGTAGGAAGGACTTATTTATTTGCAAAAAATACTTATGGAGTATCTTTCATGTGCCAATCTTGGAGCATAAAACATGATATTAGCTTTCCCTGAGAAAACAGCCCAAGAGAAAACAAAGACTGGTTCCACCACTGCGTCTTGGAAGCTAGAGCCATGGCACTGGAGGGGACAATGGACTTGATGCTTTAATGATTCGAAGTTAATGATCTTTTACTCAGATAGCCCTTGCTTGGGTAATGCAAGAAGGAGAGGACTTTTTCTTTCTTTTCCCAGTGCTTGACAACTTTAGTAAGCCACAATAGTGGGAAGTTCTGGCCAAGCCTGTTAGGATAGAAAGGTTTTCTTCTGAAAGATCCAGGAGTCATTCACCCAGCACACATCTCATGAGCACTTTCTATGTGTTACAGTATTACTGTGGACAGGTATGGTTTTCTGCCTCTGTAACAGTGCAGGGAGGTTTAGCATGACTAACTCCATTTTTGCTTCTGACTCGCTGTGGTAATATCCTTTAGGCTAACTTCTGCTTACCTCTGCACATAGGCCAAGCTAATTATAGGAGGAATTTAGCTTATGGTTCAACTTTAGAAAAAATGATAAATTCCTTCCCCACAACTAGCCCCTAGGAGATGAGAATAATAATGTTACATTAAACACTTACAGGAGCACTGTGACCTGACCAAGGACAAAGACATTTCCCAGCCTCCTCAGAAGCTCACTGGTGCCCAGATATCTCTGGTTATCAGTCACCTCTTGATTCCTGCCCCCTCTTCCCTTTCCCCTAACATAAAAAAGAGCCTGAAGTTCATGCTGGCTTAGGATGGCTCTCTAGGACGTTAGTCTACCATCTTCTCAGTTTGCTGGCTTTCTGAGTGAGTCACCTTTCATACCTCAACACCTTGAGTATCAACTTACTGGCTGTTGTGTGGCAAGTGTATGAGCTTGGACTCACCTTCAGATTTGGCAAATTGGTCAGGAGTGTCTGCTCGTATTCTGTTTGGGGACATTTGGGGGTAAGTCTCTAGCAGCTGCCAAGACCACTGGTTCCAAGGACATCCCCCTCAATTTCTTGCATAGTTGTTGGCAAGAAACTAATAAACCTCTACAAATTGTTGAACTAGATTTGGAAGTAAGGTGAGTTGCTCTGGTGTGTACCACTGAGAATTCCCTTCCCTTCCACTTGGGCTTTTCCTTGGAATAAACCATTTCTTTTTTACATTTGATTAGGGTAACCTGTAGGAGAGAGAAATAGTTGTTGCCCTTTTACCAATTTAAGAGCTGGTTCATTTGCATTTGTCTGTCAGTTGACTTTGTGGGCTACAGGCTCACATAGTTAAAAACATGGGAAATTCAAAGGCATGCCAAGTTTTCTGGGACTCCAGCTGGTTATATATTATGACCTATTTATGCACATTCTAAAACCGATGGGTAAATTATAGCAAGGAAAATGCAGAACTCAAATCGTTAACCTGCAGTTTAATGTAGTCTTCTAAAGCTCTCTGTCTCTCTCTCTCTCTTTTTTTTTCTGTCTGCTTTGAATCTGCTGTTATTAAGCTACTGGTATTAAGATTAAAAAACTCACTGTGTATAATGATATTAATTCAAGGTTATTTGGAGATTTTTTTTTCTTTTGAATATGTGGGGTACAATTCAGGATTAGGTATACAAATGTTCATTATGCAGATAGCCTTGTGATTTTTTTCTTATATAATTCAACCAGTTCTAAGTAAAACATAAGCTTTGGACACTCACTTGAAACTAAAGAAAAAACATATAAAAGAGAAGTTTTAAAAAATAAAACTACCATGGAAACTACTTTAGCCAAATCTTGGTCCTCAGCCTTCATTGGATTGACAATTAGGGCAAACAAAGTTTAGTCATGTGAACAAGTTCTAATTTTGTTAGAGATTTAATTTGGATCCAGTTAAGGCTGGCACAATTAGCATAGTTCAGAAATAGTCAGGCAGATTTTCTTGTGCAGGTCTAATTTAGAAGAGGGTAAGCATCAGACATCTTTTTTATCCACACGCAACCTTCACCCAACCAACCAAGCATATCAGACCTGACCACCTTGCGGGCCAGAATGTGGAACTACCAGTGCAGTAAATCACAGAAACGTTAGGGAATTACCCAAAACACAGACATGATATTCTAGGAAAAGTTCAAATCTAGTTAGACAGTAACTTTCATTATTTAGAAGGTTCTTTTGACCTTGAAAGGTTGAGGGGCAGTCGTCAAAACCAGACACCTGCTCTTCACTCATGATTTGCTTAATTGTCATTATAAAAGTATGCAAAGCTTCTTGTCAAAGGCAAGCACAAGCACTTTCTCTTAAGGCACCCATGCTTTTCCTTGAGAATACCCCTTTTCTTTCTAATAAATTCTCTTTTAAACTATACTTTGGATTCACTCTGAAATTCTTTTCTGTGGTAAAATCAAGAACCCACAGAACAACATACTACATCCTACCAGCATCATAGCTGTTTTTTGTAAAGTGGTGATTTTGAATTACTGTTTCATGGCTAGAGTTCTGAGGTAAAAGCTATTGGGTCTTTGTGTGTATAAATATATGTTTAGATGTGTTTACATACACATACATGATATATGTTATATCTAGCATAATGCCAAATTGGCTTATAAGTAAGTGAGCACTATAAGCTAAATAAATCCAAATGTTTTTCAAGTTCACATGGCTTAAGGAAAACTTTAATAAATAAATTGACTTTTAAATTATCGGTAAAATAAAAATAGAAATGTCAGCATGCAGATTTGTTTGGGCTTACTGATTATTTTGCATTTGCCTAGACTAGATATTTTATTACATCAAGGCTTGGCACAAAAGTTATAAGGCTATAAACCTAGCCCAAAACAGAATGATCTTTATTTGATTTGTTTTGTTTTGTTTTTGACAAATAGGACTAACAATATTATTGATTCAATAAAAACAGCCAAATCTTCTGGGTGATTGGCAAAAATGTTCACCTACTTAACTTTAAGGTGCTTACTCAGATAAATATCTGATATTCACAGGCTTTTAAAATGGTTAATGGGAAAATTGCTTTAAATAATGACCAGCTTTGCCTAATTTGTCAGTTCTCAAAAGTAACCTAGATAAACTGCCAAAATAAACTGAGTAAATATAAATGAAATAAATGCTTGCAAGTAACTTTTTGTATAATTTTAAATCTTTAAATTATTGGATTTAAATCTTTAAATTATTGGATGCTCATTAGATGTCTGAGTCATTTCCAATTAAAAAAGAGTTCTAATATGGGAAAACATGTTTCTAAACATTGTAAAATGGTTTTATTTATAAAATTTTAATGGCTGAGAGTTCAGAATTTCTTGCTTTCAAGATTTTCACTAAAATTTAAAGTTAAAATAAAAAGTCTAGTTAATATAATTGTATATATAAAATGTGCCAAAAAGATATTTTTAACAAAAAAAATGAAAAAGACAAAAATTGTGTTCTTACTAAAAATTTTTATATAATTTAGAGGTTCTTCAAAAGTTATTTATAAAAAAGGTAAAAAGAAACCAATAAACAAGAGAAAGATGTTAAAATGTTATAAGTATGAAGATGTATTTTTAGTTTAAAAAGTTATAAAAATAATTTGTATAAAAAGAATTTTATATCGTAAACTTTTGTCTTAAAGTAAAATAACTATTTTTAAAAGAAAAATATTTCGGGCAAAATAAAAAGTAAAAGCATATTGTAAATGGTTTATGTAAGTCATGATAAAAATTTTTTTATAAAGGAGCATTTATAAAAATAATTATATATGCGATTAAGTTGACTGTAATTAAAGAAAAATTATTTAGAATGGTTTTTCAAAAAATTGGCCCTCTATGTTAG